CTTCAGGGACCCTTCTCACGAGCAACTCCTTACACAGGAGGTTCTTGGGCTCCTCGCTATGGGGGCCATAGAGGAGGTTCCATCGGAGCTAAGGGGCAGGGGGTTTTACTCCCGCTACTTCCTGATACCCAAGTCAAAAGGGGGTCTACGGCCCATCTTAGACTTACGCGGACTCAACAAATTCATAGTAAAGTTGAAGTTCCGCATGGTGTCATTGGGGACCATTATCCCTTCACTGGATCCTGGAGACTGGTTCGCCGCCCTCGACATGAAGGACGCTTATTTTCATATAGCAATTTATCCGCCCCACAGACGTTTCCTGCGATTTGTGGTACACAGGGTACACTACCAATTCGCAGTCCTTCCCTTCGGCTTGTCCTCGGCTCCCAGGGTGTTCACAAAGTGTCTGGCAGTCGTCGCGGCCTTCCTCCGTCGACAAGGGATACAGCTGTTCCCGTACTTGGACGACTGGCTGGTACGCGGCCGCACCAGAGGCCAAGTGCAGGCTCATGTCCGCATAGTGACAAACACTTTCCACGAGCTGGGCATTCTACTCAACAGAGAGAAGTCCACTCTAGTACCAACTCAGAGGATAGAGTTCATTGGAGCAATCCTCGACTCCAGACGTGCCCGAGCCGTACTGCCAGACAGCCGATTTCATACCATCTCAAGCGTCATTCAAGGTCTCAGGGCCTTTCCAATTACCACCATAAGAACATGCCTTGTCCTTTTGGGCCACATGGCCTCGTGTACATACGTAACCAGGCACGCCAGACTGCGACTTCGCCCACTGCAGGCTTGGGTATCATCGGTCTACCGTCCTCATCGAGACGACCTGAACATGGTGGTCACGGTTCCGGCCTCGGTCTTGGCCTCTCTCGCCTGGTGGACGGATCGCACAGCGGTCTGTGCAGGAGTACCCTTTCACGCCCCACAGCCCTCCCTCCACCTAGTTACGGACGCTTCATCTCTAGGCTGGGGCGCTCACCTGGGGGAGCACCATACCCAAGGCCTGTGGTCCGCGTCCCAACTAGCCCTGCACATCAACGTCCGAGAGCTGATGGCGGTGCGCCTGGCTTGCCAGGCTTTCCTCAACTTCCTACAGGGCCGTTGCGTGCTGATTCTCACCGACAACACCACGGCCATGTTTTACATCAACAAGCAAGGCGGAGCTCGCTCATCTCCCCTATGCCAAGAGGCCATTCGCCTGTGGGACTTCTGCATCGCCCACTCGATTCATCTCACGGCGTCATTCCTTCCTGGAGTCCAGAATACGCTGGCGGACCGTCTCAGCAGGTCCTTCCAGACGCACGAGTGGTCGATTCGCCCGGACATCATCTATTCCGTCTTCCAAAGGTGGGGGTTTCCCCAGATCGACCTGTTCGCGTCTCGGGCCAACAGGAAGTGCCAGGCATTCTGCTCCCTACACGGGCGAGCCCCGGGCTCTCGGTCAGACGCCTTCCTCATGGCATGGAAAGACCATCTGTTCTACGCCTTTCCTCCATTCCCGCTGGTCCACAGGGTGCTGCTCAAGATCCGCAGGGACCATGCACGGGTAATTCTAGTCGCTCCCGCTTGGCCGAGACAGCACTGGTACACCACACTGCTGGAGCTGTCAGTACAGAGGCCCATCACGCTCCCCTTGAGTCCGGATCTCATCTCTCAGGACCACGGCCGGCTGTGTCACCCCGACCTACAGTTGCTCCACCTCACGGCGTGGATGCTTCATGGTTGAGTCGCTCAGAGCGGCAATGCTCCCAGGCCGTCCAACAGGTCCTGCTGGGAAGTAGAAAGCCCTCTACGCGGACCACTTATTTAGCCAAGTGGAAGAGGTTCTCCTGTTGGTGTGAGCAACGAGCTACGTCTCCCTCGCAGGCTCCTATCCCCTTGATACTGGAATACCTTCTGTCCCTAAGACAGCAAGGATTGGCGACATCCTCAATTAGGGTTCACCTCGCCGCCATTTCCGCTTTCCACCCAGGAGAACTCACGTCCTCGGTCTTCTCTAACCCGATGGTCGTTAGATTCCTCAAGGGCTTAGACCGGCTGTACCCACAGCAACGACAGCCGGTTCCGACGTGGAACCTCAACCTCGTCCTCTCCAGGCTCACAGGGCCTCCGTTTGAACCATTGGCGACCTGCTCACTCCTGTACTTATCCTGGAAGACAGCCTTCCTCGTAGCCATCACCTCAGCACGACGCGTCTCGGAACTCAGGGCGCTGACATCCGAGCCCCCTTACACGGTGTTCCACAAGGACAAGGTGCAGCTTCGCCCCCACCCTGCCTTTCTTCCGAAGGTGGTGTCACCTTTCCACGTAAACCAAGATATATTTCTCCCAGTCTTCCATCCGAAACCGCACGCTACTCGTCAAGACCAGCGTTTACATTCTTTGGACGTTCGCAGGGCCCTGGCTTTCTATATTGACCATACAAAGCCATTTAGGAAAACGACGCAACTCTTCGTTGCGGTGGCCGACCGGATGAAAGGCTCACCGGTCTCTTCACAGTGCCTGTCCTCTTGGATTACGTCCTGCATTCGTGCTTGCTACGACCTGGCCGGTGTACCGACGCCACGCCTCACTGCTCATTCCACGAGGGCCCAGGCCTCCTCGACTGCCTTCCTGGCTCAAGTACCAATCCAGGACATTTGTAAAGCTGCAGTGTGGTCATCGGTCCACACATTTGCTACTCACTATGCGCTGGTGCAACAATCCAGAGACGATGCTGCTTTCGGGTCAGCGGTTCTGCACACAGCAATGTCTCACTCCGACCCCGCCACCTAGGTGGGGCTTGGGAGTCACCTAACTGGAATGGATATGAGCAAGCACTCGAAGAAGAAAAGACGGTTACTCACCGTTGTAACTGTTGTTCTTCGAGATGTGTTGCTCATATCCATTCCA